CCACAATTTTTCCCATTTTGTGTAAAGCCTTCTTCTTGTGCTTCCGTTACACGTCGTTCTCTTTGACGTTCATTTCATCTGATTAAGATAAGTTTGTAGCAGGGTTTCGTAGATTACATTTAAAAAAATAAATCTCATATCGGCTATCTTTCCTGAATGCTCCAAATAACATCCCACGGTTGTAAGTAAATGACCAAACCGATAATACCATGTAGCGCCTGGCGATCACAGCAAACATCTACAACAATAACATGAATGAACAATTGCATTTTGTTTGGCGAGTGGCCATAAATTGCGAATGGGGGTATTTATAAAACAACGGCAGCCAAAGAGATGAGACCCATATTCGTTGTGAGAGCCACTGAGACGAACAATGAACTGTTTTATGTCTCTTGTTGAGTTCTTCGTTTTTCATTTTCTGTTTTGTTGATAAGTCTCAGTATCACACACAAACACATTGCATTATATAGAACAACAATAATAACGACAATGCCTACTCCAAATACCGGCATTGAAGACGCCAACAACGGCAATAGTGCCGTCTGCTGGTGGTGTCGTTGTTATTGTTGTATGTTTGATCACTGATAACGAGGCTACAACACACAATTATTATTACAAATGCAATCAAGGTAGTTACTCTCTCGCTCTCTCACACACTCATTTATTGTGGGGCATGTTTGTGGGAGCAAGAGATTACAAATGAAATGAGTTGAAGAAAGTTCTTTTTTTTGAACGAAAAACCAAGAGAGAGTGAAAAATTGGTTCCAAACAAAAGTAGTTTCTATGTGCATTAGTTGCTGTCACTAAAGTTTAGTGACTTAACTAAACGCTGAGTGACTAAACAATTGGTGCTGACTTAAGTTACTTTGATTAAAAAAAATGCACAAATGCAAGGTATTTCATGCATAGGGAAACACCATACAGTGAGAGAATTGGGGAGAACTGTCTGCGATCGGATATGAGCTAACACAGAGGTCGAGTCATGATAATGATGATGACGGGCGTCCGAAATATGCACACACAATCAACATCAACTTATCTCTACAACAAACATTATGATTTGGTTTGTTTATTTTATAAATATTATGGATAGGTGCCTAAAGTGGCTTGCATTTTGCCGAGAGGTGGGAGACAAACAAAATAAATATAATATAGGTGGGTACGTACATAAATATGTATGCACAATTATTTTGTGAATAAACAAAGAGGGAGTAATGCTAAATTTGCGATTTTTTCTGTGCTTTTGACGATTTTTCACAGGCATTCATTTATAAATGACTAGTGAAATAATTGATTGACTGATCAAGAATTAATGCCCAGGTGAAACGGCTGAAGCTAGGATATAAAAATTTTGAACGAGGGCCAGTCTCGGTGTGTGGACGTGTGATAAGGCTGGATTTTTGGATATTCGCGATAAAAGGGTATGTGAAGTACTAAAATGTAGTAAAAATTTAATACATTGTATCGAACACACGGAATAAGCTAGAATTCTGAAATTTGGAATGAAGTGGTACTAAACTTCTAAAATGGTACCATTTGGTATTAGGTGAAACTTGAACAGAGGTAAGAAAGTAAGTTTGGAATATGAAGCTGGTTATGGAAATGTGATCTAAGATGCGAACTATAGTAAATGGCTGTAAATTTGAAACAGTTTGGTTTAGGGTAACCTGATGAAGCTGGAATTTCGAAATATTGTACTGAGATCTCTATTGTTGGTAGATTTGTGATAAAGAGGTATTTTTGAAAATGTGTAGGACTAAATAGTCTCACATTTGGTACAAATTGGTTTTGGGTAAACAGATAATGCTTGAAATCGGAAATTAGGCATTAGATTCGCTATACAGGTATAGCCTAGACATATGGAGATATAGACATTCTACGAATAGTACTGAATTGTAATATATTTTGTATTGGGTGAATGGATAGAGATATAATTCTGTAATTTAATGTTTAGATAACTGTAGGTATCTGAGGTTGAGGTATTGGGTGAATGGATAGAGATATAAATCTGAAATGTAATGTTTAGATAACTGTAGGTATCTGAGGTTGAGATTTGAAGGTGGGTTTGAAAATACGTCCTGTATTTGAGCGAAATTACTAAACTGTATTAAATTTAGTATTAGGTGAAGGTATAGGGCGGGAATCCTCAAATTTGATATTGAGGTATCTTTTGGTATGAGGAATTGAGATATGGAGGTGGTTTTGGAAATGGGTACTATTAGAGCTGAAATTCAGATATTTTATATAGATGTCACTGTGAATGTCTGTGGTTAAGATATATAGGTTGTTTTGGAAATGAGCCCTAAATTTGTATGAAAAGCACTAAATGGTACTAAATTGGGTATTGTATGAAGAGATTGGGATGGAATTCAGAAATTTGATATTGAGGTTTCCACTGGTAGGTGAAGGTATAGGGATGGAGATATGTAGGAGGTTTTGGAAATGTGTACTATAATTGTACGAAAAGTACTAAATTTGGTATTAGGTAAATGGATAGATCTAGAACTCTGAAATTTGATATAGATGCCACTGTTGGTGTCTGTAGTTGAGAGAAGAAGGCGATTTTGGAAATGCCTTCTATCAACGTACGAAAAGTGCAAAATGTCACAAAATGAGCACCCAAGGGCTAAATAGAGAGATTCTCAGTAGTCCCCTTTATGAATTCTTTTCTTCTCCCATAATTAAAACACCTTCCAAAAGACTTACTTCAGGTCTTCTATAAGTCAAAGACTTCAGGTCTTCTATAAGTCAAAGACCTTTTGCAGCTCTGCTTAAGTTTGAACACTTTCTCTAACTATTCTACAGAGTGAGATGAAAAAACTGCAACAAAGTCAAACGCCTATTTTTTACATTTTTTTTTAAATTTTGAATGAAAGCAAAAAATGCCTTTGGCACGAATTATAGACTTTAAACGCCAATGAAACCGTCACACATTGCCCGAATGTAGCTCAGCGGCTTATTCCCGCGAAGTGCTTGCTTGAGGTAATCGACATTTTGGTATTTTTTAGTGCCAACCTTGCTTTTCAAAAAACTCCTGACACAATAGTCCAACCGATTGGTATCCGGAGATTTTGGTGACCATTGTGCGCTGGAAATGAAGCGAGGAACCTCATTTTGTAACCATTCTTGGGTGGTGCGTGCTGAGTGCTATGGTGCTGAGTCCTGTTGGAATGTCCAAGGTCTGCGGCCAAAATGTTTGCGTTCCCAAGGCCTTAATACTTCCTCCAGGATATTTTCGCGATAATATTCGGAATTTATTCTGATGCCACAGTCGATTAATATGAGCGAAAAGCGACAATCGGCTGGTGGCCAACCGAAGGTGCACATTTTCAGCTGTTCTCTTTGACAAGTAAACACGATAATTTTGTTTGTTTACAAACGTTGGACAACGAATGTTTTCTCATCGGAGAAAACCAAATTCGGCAGTTCACCACCACCAGATCGGCCAAGCAAAGTAACTCTTTAGCTCTTTTAAGTCTATTTTCTTTCTTTTGCGCTATAAGTACTTGCACTTTTTGGAATTTCAATGGCTTTACCCCGATCTGATTTTTCAAATGGAATATTGCGATTATTCGGCCACTGCGACGCGTGTTTCGATCAAGTCGCTTCTTTACTTTTCGAACCATTTCTGCTGATGTTTTTGTTTTCTTCTGTCCACTTCCTTGACGTCGGGCTCCGTTACCAGTATCACGGTAACGAGCGATGGTACGAGACACAAAAGATTTACTCACATTTAAATGCTGGAATGTTCTAACGATAACCACTTGTGGTTTTCCAGCCAAATGCAAAGAAAAATTCACTATCACGCTAGAATTCCACCACGAATAACTTTTTTTCTGGAAAATTTTCACCAAAGTGCTTTTGTACGTTTGTAAAGAATATAATGAGCTGTCACTGGAATAATTTTAACAGCTGTCGGACGAACGGCTTGGAAATGACAGCAGTCTGAATTTGGTTTCAGTTTTTTTCATCTACTCTCAGAAGGTCCTCTCCAGGTTTTTCTTTAGGGTTTCTATAGACGGAAGACCTTCCTCAGATCATCAATAAACAGAAGGCTATATTCAGATGAGCTTCCCCAGATCAGCCAAAGATAAGACACCGACTTCTGGTTTGTTGTAGAAACTAAATTTTATTAAGGAAGGTCTCCTTCAGATCTTCTCTAAACAGAAGTTCTTCTTCAGGACATAAGACCTTCTTCATACTTTCTTCCGACAAATTTCCTTCCTCGGGGCTTCTATGGACAATATATAGAATATCATCCACAGGTATTATAGGCAGCGGATCTTCTCCATATCTACCATGGACAGATTTGGGGACCAACTTTTGGTTTGTTGTAAAGAAGATTTTTGTGAAGATTTTATTCAGGAATGTCTCATACAGGCCTTCTCTGAATAGAAGTCCATCTTTAGGTCTTGTATAGGCAGAAAATCTTTTCCAGATCTGTTGTAGACACAAGACATTCTTTAATTCAGCAGTAGGCAGAAAATCTTCTTATATATTTATGTATATATTTGGTGTTTAAAAAAAAAAAACCAATTCACTGTGCATAAGTTTCTATTCCATTATGTTTATTATCAAGCCATTCATTTGGCATCCCTAAAAAAATCTCACAAATAATCCTAGTTGTTTAGCCTTGCATACCCATAACGCCAACAGAAATGCCTTATCACATGTTCTAGACAATTATCAGTAAATTGCGAGAATACAGTAAAACGCTTCAATAACGGACACACCCCCCATAAGAAAACACTTTGGCAAGGAGTATGGCCCGCCAACTTCTCGTTGGAGTTTCTGCTGTATGCTGCTGCAATGAGGATCTCCTATACTCTCCGGTATCAATTGCGCTGAGAGTTGTCTGCCAAAGTGGCACATCTCTCCCACACACTCTCATACTAAAAAAAACATACGACAAGACTAAAATTGGCGCAGTTGCTTGACTTGATGTGCCTTCCATGCCAGTCATGCCTTTCAGTTAATACGAAATTTAGTTATGGACTTACCTCTTCATCTACTGCTCTGCACGGCTGAGTTGCATTCTTCGGCAGGCCAAGAATGGTGGTGATGAACTGAAGAAAACGTCGACAGACAGCATCACAATCAAAACAAACGAACCAAAGAAAAAAACTCACAGCAACGTCAAAATGTGTGACGTTGTCAGTTTGCTGCTGTTGTTGATCCGTTGCCGTTTTTGTTTTGTTGTTTGCAGTTAAATGTTTGGGGAGAACTTGGTGTTTCTTGTTTTCGTTGTTGTATTTTTTTTCCGAAATAGAGATGCAATTCTGTTGAGATCGAACATTCACATTACACATTTGACTTTGGGACTGACTACCACTCGCAGTCATCGATCGGTTGTTGTTGCTGTTTGATTTGACTCCGAGATACACGTTGTTGGCAATAAAATTATGGCAATAATGTAACGAGTTAAACGACTTTGTTGCTGCCATGCTTTGCCATTGCTATGGTTTTATGTGTGTACGCACACACACACACATACGTACATACATTTTTTATATATTCAGTTATATTTGAATGCCGTTGCAATAAATTCCTATTTTTGTCACCTTTGTTTGCCTTTTTATTTTCATTAATTTTTCACTTTATTCTCTTTGTGTTTGTTTTTAAATGCACTAAACTGTTGTCATGATCAGTTGTAACGGTTAGAAATGAACAAATGAATTGAAGAAGAAAAAAATTATACACTGGTCGACAAAAAGAGCAAAAATCGCATTTGGCACAACCCAATATTTGTATTACGCTATGTCTGGTGAGGAGATATCAATTCACGTTTCTTGTATTTCGAATCCAACCCCTACACCTACCCAACGAAAAAAAGCTGTGTAAGTTCGGTGCTACTTCGGACCGAAATTTGGATGAAGCTTCCGACTCCTGATGCGCAGTCGGTCCGACTTCTGGTCGAAAGATATATACGGTGGTTGACGTGTTCTCGGGCCGAAGGGTAAAATGTAAATCTGAAGTTTTGGCAAACTTTCGAACCGAGGAGAACTCATTATTTCCCCGATGACACAAAATCAGTTACGCATTTATTTCATCCTTAAAAGCACAAAAAAAAAAACTGTCAAAGAGAGAGAGAGAGAAAGAGAGAGAGAAATAAACTCCACTTATTTTCTTTTTATTGTTTTTATTGTTACAAGCAGAAGCGGAAAATGTTTACAACTTAAAAAAACCGCAGAAAAATTGTTCAGAATTCAGACCTACGTCAATCAGACTTTGATCAGACTGTCGGACGTGAGACATTTTGTGTGCTGGGTACAGAAAAAAGACTTTCTTAGGATTTCTTAAAACTAATTACCTTCTGCAGAACTTTTCCTAAACACAGAAGAACTATGACAGACCTTCTTTAGGTTTTCCATTTATAGAAAATCTTATTCAGGTCGGAAAAAAAATGTGTTGATCTTGTATAGAACGAAGATCTTCGACGGGACTTCAATACACAGAAGAATTTGTACACAGACTTGTAAATATATATTCTTGTTCAGTAAAAAATTCTATATCGATTTAGCGATGTCCGTCCGTCCGTCTGTCCGGCTATACGTCTGTGGAACTCACTCTAGCTTCCGAACGAAATGCAGTAGGTTGATAAAATTTTACTCAAATGTATATTATGTCTACAGGACTTTTGGTATTGAAAATAGGCCATGTAGGTCCACGTTTTGGAATAGCCCCCATATAACGGTATTTCCCGATATTCGGTAAAGACATTATTTGCCGGAATTGTTTCTAATTTGGTATAAGAAGTTCGTAATACATACTACAGCCTGAGACAGAAAATTGTCCTTGCAGTTCCAAGTCCTCGTATAGACCTTATATAACGGTTCCTCGTGATTTTCTGCATTTTGCTGATTTTAGCAACATTTTTCAACGGAATTGTTTCAAATTTGGTATAAGAAGTTCGTAATAGATACTACAGCCTGAGACAGAAAATTGTTCTTGCAGGTCCACGCCTTCGCACAGACCCCACATAACGACACCTACCGATATTCGGTATTTTGCTGATTTTAGCGGCATTATTCACCGGAATTGTTTCAAATTTGATATTTGAAGTTCGTAATGGATGTCGATGGCAGAAAATTATATGTGCAGTTCCACGACTTCGTATAACCCTTATATAACGGTAACACCTGATTTTCGGTATTTTTCTGATTTTAGATTTACATTTATCAACGGAATTGTATCAAATTTGGCATTTGATGTTCGTAATGGATACTGCAGCCTTAGACAGAAAATTGTCTGTGCAGGTCCACGTTTTTTTTTTTTTTTTTTTTTTTTTTTGAAAATTGCCAAATTCGTTCCAAATGGTGGAGGGTATTCAAGTTCAGCCCGGCCGAACTTACAGCCTTTTTACTTGGTTTTAACTTTTCAAAGACTTTTTGGCCAAAAATGGCTTCATGACCACGAACCTAAGAATTTTAAAAAAAATCTTTTGAAAAAAATCGGATTTTTTTTATTTTTTTTTTTTTTTTTGGGATAATTTCTGACGTGGATTTTTTAAACTATTTTTCAAAAACTTCCTGGCCAAGAATCGTGAATTTAAAAAAAACGATTTGTAAAAAGTTTTGTAGGGCACTTAGACACCTATTAGAAACGTCAAATAAAAAATGTCAACCAACTCCTTTCAAAAAAATTCTGAAAGCCATCAGAACAACGAGTATATAGTTTGGTACTCGTATATGGGAGAACTTCCACAATGCGGCGCTATATCAGCTGTTTTTTGCATGGTGGTTAGGAACCCCCAACAACCTTTAAATACTAAATTCCAGACAAATCCCTTTAAAATGTGCTGAAAATCGTCGAAATGCTTAATATGGAGGGGATACCGTTACGAAAAAGTTGGCCAATATGACCCATCTTCAAATTTGATCTGAGTTCAGACCCCAAAACGCATGGGTATCAAATTTCAGCACTCTACCTCATTTCCTTCGGAAAATAGCGAGGTTACAACAGACCTGCGGACAGACGGACGGACATGGCTAAATCAGATTGGAATTGTACGCTGATCATGGATATATATATATGCTTCGGAATGACGAACTTGGATTGGATTTGAACAGGATTTTTTTGTCGACCAGTGTTTTGGACGATAAATGTGCACAATTCAGATACGGTTCAATAATAGCTGCTTAACAATGACGATGAATTTATAAAAATTTGAACAGGATTTTTTGTCGACCAGTGTTTTGGAAAAATGCACAATTCAGTTACGGTTAAACCATAGCTGATGATCAGCGCAATTTCTATTAGTTTTTTTTCTTGAATCACCAACAAATCAATGGCTAAGTATTTTTTTTTTCATTCTTTTAATAATTTGCTTTATCAACAATTTCAAACAGCATTCGTTTTCTCTCAAATGATCTCTTTTTGCGATTTTGCTCAGCTCTGGATTAGACCTTTTGTGTGCGTTTTTTTATTTTTATTTATTTATTTTTTTTGCTTTTTGTTTTGGTTTTTGGATTTGTCATAAATGTGGTTGGAATTTTAAACGACGACTCTTTTAAGCCACGCCAGGTGTTTAGACAATATTAAAATATTTACATGAGGCAAGGTGTCGATCGATAAATACGCAAACTTACGACCGCAAAAACCACTTTTTGTCACAATTCCAACATCAATCGTATCGAATCGAATGCACTTCTCTTTTTTTGTTGTTGTTGTTGTCGGATTTCAAAGACGCCAAGGGCACGGCGGTCACGACAAATGCAGCGGTCGCGACCAAAACATTGATAAAAGAACACACAATTGCAGGCAATAAAACAAAAACAAACAAAAATTTATAGACGAGCACACACACAAACAATCATACGCCGCGAAGGCTCGCTCGGATGGGGAGCTCTCTCTTTTTCTTTTCGTTTGATGAGATGTCGATAAAGGGACCGGTAAAATATGGTTGTGTTGGGTGGGGTGAGAAAGTTTCACAAACAAATTTTCTCGATTTTTTTCACACTAACTTCGACATCTCTCGCTGGCTTTGTGTTGCTCACTGACAACAGCATGATTATCGCGGTTGCTTGGAGAATAAAACTTAAAATAGCTCACACTCTTCGGAGTAGACACAACATTCATTTATCGGTCACTGAGAAATCTCTCTCAAGCACCACACACATCTTCATACATACATACATTCGTGTGGGGATGGATGTATGCAAATTATGTTCAAATGTAAACAAATACAAAATCAAACACACCAACTAACAAACCAGAACTATCTGTCTGGTGGCGGTGGCGAATCGAGGATCTCTAAAAACGAAATATGCTTCTTGGAATTTTATAGAGGACACACACAACACGGAAAATTCATATTTTTTATGCTGGGCAATAGTTTGTCCCCAGCTTTTCTTTTTTCCTTGCACTTCGTCTTGTTATGACTCTTTTTGTTGAGCTTGGGGTACGGAAACGCTCAGAAACACACTATTGTTGGCGACAACGATGAACGATGTTAAGGATACCAGCGACAATTTCAAACTGTTTCAACAACAACACATGATAAGTCTCAAAGTTTGATTATTTCCATTTTTCCAGACGCGCGAAAACCATCCATAGAGAGGGCAATCCAAGCGGGCGAACACTCAAACATACCCACATAAATACTTGGCCAGCCAGCCAGCCATGAACACCACACAGCACACAAGAAATCAAGTAACGAAACACTAAACACCAACAACAACAACAACAACATCACCGACAACGAAATCGAGAAAACAGCTATTGAGAAATTTGAGCTCCATGCCGTTTATGACGACGACCGACGACGATCTCCCCTATCAAATACAATTAATACAATGTTGCTAAGGCAGCGCTGCCCCAGAGCAGCCACAAGGCCTAAAGAAGGCAACAACAAAAATAACCAAAATGAAATGAACTCTGCGCGAGAGAGAGAGCATTCAACTTGAAAGAGTGCACTGATTAAATAAAATATCTCGTAGTGGAATAGTATCGGTGTGGCTAATTCAGCGATTTTATTTGTTGAAATGGGAGAAAATCGAAGATTTATTTAATTGTTTTATGCGAAGTGAGGGGTAAGCACCACCATATCGGAGATAGGTTTGTATTTTATGTAGTGCGTGTAGCCTTAACATACTTGTTTTTGTACTACAAAATCAAGACGACAATTTTAACGGGAGTAGTTGCTACAAATTGGCACAGTGTTTAGATATCATTGAAAGTGGATTTATTTAGTATCGAGGAGAGGGGAAATGGAATACTCTAAGAAGACGTTAGAATACTTCTATGAGAAGGTATTTTTGTTTTATATGAGAAGAACTTCTGGTGTTCTATGAGAATCATCTATGAGAAGATCTCCAGATCTTCTATGAGAAGATCTCCAGGCCTTCTATGAAAAAATCTCCAGGTCTTCTATGAGAAGATCTACAGGTCTTCTATGAGAAGATCTATCTATGATAAGATCTACAGGTCTTCTATGAGAAGACCTCTGAGTTTTCTATGAGAATACCTTTGAGAATTCTATGTTACCTCCAGGTCTTCTTTGAGTCTTCTATGAGCAGGCCTTTGGGTCTTCTATGAGAAGGCCTTTGGGTCTTCTATGTCTGAGAAGACTTTTGAGTCTTCTTTGAGAAGGCCTTTGGGTCTTCCATGAGACGACCTTTGGGTTTCTATGAGAAGACCTTTGAGTATTCTATGTTACCCGTTTCGTGTTCTAAGAGAAAACGTTAGAATACTTCTATGAGAAGACATTCTGCTATTCTAGGAGAAGACATTCTGGGAAAACCTTTTCGTCTCCTATGTGAAGACTTCTTCTATGAGAAGACTTTCTTGTATATTACGGGAAGACATTTTGATATTCTTTGAGAAGATTGTCTGGTCTTCTATGAGAGGACCTTTTGTTCTTTTCTATCGGAAGCTCTTCTAGAAAAATAACTCCTGCTCTTCTAGAAGAAAACCCTCTGCTCTTCTAGGAAAAAACCTTCTGCTTTTCTATGAGAAGACCTTCACTTCTCCTTTAAGAAAACCTTAGCGTCTTCTATGAGAAGACCTTCTCGTATTCCATTTAAAGGCCTTTTGCTCTTCTAGGAGAAGACCTTCCGGACTTCTAGGAGAAGACCTTTCGGACTTCTTGGAACAGACCTTCTTATCTTTTATAAGAAGATCTTCCGGTCTTCTGTGAGAAGACTTTCTCGTCTTCTATGAGACGACACATTCTTCTGTGAAGAAAACCTTCTTGTCTCTTATGAATAGGCCTTCTGGTCTTCTATGAGATCAATTTCTGGCCTTCTTTGAGGAGTCTTTCTAAATATCTATGAGAAGACTCTCTGGTCCTCTATGAGAAGATTCTTTTGTCTGCTATGAGGAGATCCTCTGGTCTTCTATGAGAAAACCCTTTGGTCTTCTTTGAGGAGACTTTCTGCACATATATAGGAAGACCCTCTGGTCTTCTATTAGAAGACCCTATCGTCGTCTATGACAAGGCCTTCTGAAATTCTATGAGCAAACCTATTTGTCTTCCTTGTATCTTCTGGTATTCAGAAAGCATATTGGCTTCCTACTATTTAAACCATATATGTATTTCATTACGAAAAAGACACCGAAAAAGACAATCGGAAACAAGTACAGGTTATATTCAGCATTCACTAGGAATTTATTCCACCACACTGTGCCCGACATTAAATCGCTTTGTGGAGAGCAGCAGGTGTTTTTGTTGTTTCTTTTGTCATAGTAAATCGGCCATAACCAACGCCATTCGATTAACGTAATTTTTCTTCAGCTCAAAGATCAAGGTTGAATGAATTGTACTTTAAAATGATCATTTTTTTTGTCTTGCACTAGCTACTACGGTCAACGAGATAGAGAAAGCAACAACAACAAAAACTACAAAAATGCGATCAGCATCACAACAGATAAGTATGAGAAAATAAATGACTGGAACCTTTTTTTCTTTTACTATTTATAAAAAAGTAAGATGGCTAGACGCTTGCCTCTAGGGTGGTGTGAGTGGGTCCTTGGGGGTTGTTACACAATTAATTTTTCGTTTGAAAAGAAAAACGAAGGGCTAGACTATACCATAATACAACATTCGTAAATAGCCAAATTAAAACTTGAACACATTTTTATAAAAGACAAAGAATGCAGTAAAAGACGTACATATCAAAGACCTAAAATGGTAAAGACTAGACAAAATGCATTCTGACCAAATGGTTTGTGTCTATACTATCTATATAACAGTCCATGGGAGGAAAATGTTAATACCAAAAACACATTTATAGAAAAAATTGACAAACAAATGTTTGGAAAATCGAAAAATTGGGTTTCAAAATTCTATTCCATAGACTTTCCAAATAAATTGCATATTGCCTAAGCGGTTTTAATCGCATAACATTGCTAACTATGTTGTTACGATATCATAACAACAGAGGTATTTTTACAGGGTTGCCATATTTTTGCTCTGTCTTGTCCTATCTTTACACTTCTATGTATTTGCACATATTGTCAAGGCCGCTAAGAGGGGCTGATTAATAGCGCACCGTTACATAAATCAGAGTTCCGCAGTTTAAAACAGTGGGTTGACTGATCAAAGTATGACCTATGGAGAACACGAATATAAATATGTATAAACAATTATGAATGAAACCTGATTGATCGACCCACCTAACTGTATAGTATGAAGATCCTTACAGTTGAACAGCATGCCCAAAGTGTGCTTCATTATATCGATAATATGTCACCCGCTCTTACCTGTTTCTTTCGGTTTCGTTTTTTGAAATACCAAATACAGGTCATAGCTGTCGAATTCTTAAGGATCTTGGTTGGCAAAGAATTCGAGTAAATAGTTGCTTGCATTTTTGTTGCTGACAGTGGAAGTAGAGTTCACCTGGAAAACAATATTTTATTGTTGCGGATGGTGAAAAGATAATCAAATAAAAAAAGGATAACAAGTAAAAAATCAGCAGGCGCGGTCGAACTTTGAATTCCCCTCACCATTTGGAATGAAATTTTCAAAAATAAAATCCGTAAAAAAATTCTGTTAAAATCTTAAAAATACCGAAAATAACCGTTATATTGCGGCATAGGCAAATCTTGTCATAAGCCATTACAGTATTCAAATACGAAGCTTGGAGAAAAGATCCGGTTAATAATGTAGCTAAAATCATCAAAATACCGAATATAAGGAGGTACCGTTATATTGGACCTATACGAACACCTGGACCTGCATAGTAAATTTTCTGCCACAGGCTGTTGTACCTATTAGGAATTTCAAATACGAAATTTTAAACACTTTCGGTGAATATTGTACTTAATATCGTCAAAATACCGAATATTCGGGGGGTACCATTATATGAGGGGTTTTCGATATCGTGGACCTATGTAGACCATTCTCTTCTTGGGACTAAAGTACTCGCAAAGAGCACCTTGTGAGGATTTTCAGACAATTCCGTTAAAAAATGTGGCTAAAATCAACAATATACCGAATATCGGGGATATATGATTTCGTGGACCTATATAGACAAATCTCTTCGAGGGGATAAAGTACTCACACGGAACTTCTTCTTATATAATACAATATTTATTTAATCTTGCCTCTGGCATTATTTTCCAAAAATTTTCTGCTTTATTTTGCCTTCAACTGTTTCGCGACGTGTGTTTTCATTTAGGCGTCAATGATTTTTGAGGTCGATTAAGAACCATGTAGATCAGTCATGATGTTGAAGTAGCAAAATTTCATGCCCCATTTGAAAACTAGAAGTAAAAAACATTCGGCACAAGTTTGTCTACTCATGATCATCGTCATCATCATCATTATGTAGGCAGATAAGTGGTAAACGCGAAAAAAGGAACTGCAACAACTTCCCATCAACACATCAATATTATGACACTCTTAATTGGTGGCACAAGCTATTATTAATGAAATCTCTAATTTGACAAGTCAATGATTTATTTGACTACAGATGGAGATTGCGAAGGAGTGGAATATTTACATTTGAAAGAACCCTATACGAAAAGGTACTTTGGAGTAAAATTCGTATAGAGTCTGGGTCTAAGATTTATTTAATGGACAAAAATTCCTCGATTACTGGAACACTGCAGTGAACTCTTCTACCAATGCAGATATACAAAAAAACGTTGACATTGACATTATCTTTCATATAAAATTTGCAGGACAAAATCGGGTTACGCATTTTAGAGAACATCAATTTCTAACAATGTACAATTTAGTATACAATCAGCCATGTGGCTACAGATACGGACAAAAAGTTGAAACGGTTTTAGACCCTAGGTCTCTTTGGAACAAATCCATTTCAGGACATTTGGAGTCGATCTAGCGATGTCCATCCGTCCGTCTGTCTGGCTAGTGGGCGCGACAACTCTCGAAGGGAGTATCTGATTTGGTCCAAACCGGGTACATCGTAATATTATTATCAAATTTAGATCGAGTTCGGAGATGGGCAATATCGGTCGACTTCTTCCGATATCTCCACTTCTTCTGATATCTCCCCCACAAATGTCGACATTTTCAAAAACAAAAA